GAGGGAGTGACTGTCATCATCATTTTCTAAACTGATGCCACAAAGTATTAATCTCAGAAGATGTTAAGGAGTAAAGAGGTGGAGGAGAGTTGGAGAGGATCCTAAGCAGGAAGACTGGGAAATGCTTCATGATCTATTTTCCCTCTGAAGGGACACAATACTTATTAATATATCAATCCTCTGAGAAATCCCACAGCACAGAAATCCATTTGTCTCTACTTAATCCAGAATTTCCCAAAGTTAGTTGAGTGTAGAATGGTTTTCTTTTTCAAATAACACCAAATACTAGGTGTTAACACCAAATCCACTTTGGGGCAGACCTTGGCAGCTGGAGACAGACCCGGCATACAGCAATTAATGCTTTCCCTTCTGAGTTCTTTATCAATCCAATTTCTCCCAAAATTGAGAGCCAGTTTTTACAACAACATAAAACAGGCAGCTGCTTGGAGCCAGGCGTGGTGGTGCACACTGGTCATCCCAGCATTCAGGAAGCTGAGGCAGGAAGATCACCATGAGTCTGAGGCAAACCTAGGCTACACAGTGAGATCATTCCAGCCTAAACTATATAGTGAGACCCTGACTACAAAAAAAAGGGAAAAGGGAAAAAATAAAAGGGCAGCTTCTGACTTGCCTGAATTTCAGAGACAATAGATGATGATGCTGGCGGTGATGGTAACTAGCCCAGACTATACCTACTGTATGCCAGGTACTGTTCCAAGCACTTTAAGTAGGATAGCCGGCTTAGTTGTCATGGCAACCCTGTGAGGGACAGCTCTCATTATCCCCCCTTATACTTGTGGAAACTGAGGCACAGAACTATTTGTTCAAAGTCACAGAAAATAAGTGGCCAAGTCAGGACTAGGAAACAGAGCTGGGAAGTTTTAAATGTACTCTTTTCCCTCTGAAGCCATGATAATCTTAGTCTCTAAAATAGACAGCAGGTAGATAAGAGGAAAACGACCATCCAGGTTTCATCGTGTGGCTAAGCAGGGCTGGAAGGGATGTGGCACGGACTATGGAAGGTTGGGGACAGGAGACACCCGGTGACCCCATCCATGCTAATCTCTGTCTGTGCCAGGGGCCAGCACTATCCTATCCTCCTGTGAAAATTCCTCTCCTACGCAGACAAGGCTGGGAGCATCAGACAGAAACACCTGTGGCTGCAGCCACTGCTTGCTAAGGTAGACGCCGGGGTCCTTCCAGTGGGCTAGGGCGTGGCTTAGTGGTGAGTACTTGCCTAGCGCATAAGAGACCCTTGGCATCCATCCCCAGCACTGAAAAGGAAAGAAAAAAAAGAAGAAGAAGATGGAGAGCACTTATTGACAGTTTCCTGCACGGCAGCTGCTTTTATGGACTTTTTAGACACAGTTCCACTTAGTCTTGTGAATGAGGTATCACTGCAGTCCTGGCTGTATACATGGAGAAAGGGGCACAAAGACATTAAATCATACTTTGCGAGGTCCCCTGTTAAATCCTGGGGCCTGCTGGGTGAGGTGGCACTTGGGAGGCTGAGGATCACTGTGAGTTCAAGGCCAGCCTGAACTACACAATACAATCCCATGTTGCCAGGGACTTAGCTCATGGTTCCGGTGCCTCACAGGCATAAGGTCCCAACTTAGATCCTCAGTACAAAAAAAAATCCCGTGTCAAAACAAAAACAAAGCCAAAAATCCTGGGGCCTCAGTTCAAAGCCAGGTGACACCTCAGAGTCCTGATGAGAGACTAGAGATGTATTAGGATGCTGTCAACCTGGCCAGGCTGGGACACCTGGACAGGTGAGCCTGTACAGGCCTGGCAGGGGCAATCAGACACCGTCCCGCTCCAGCCACAGGTGCATTGCCTGTGTGTGTAATGGTAAGAACCCCTGGCTGGGTGTGAGGGGTGAGCGGAAAAGGCATAAACTTTTAGAAAAAAGTTATAGACATTTTATAGGTCTTAAAAAAAAAACAGGTGATCCTTTTCCTATTGAAATCGAGCCTGGCAAGGTCACTGTTAAAGAATAAGAACTGTGAGATAAACCAGGAGAACAAAGCCCGCCATTCGCTCAAATGGAGCGGCGTTTATCTTGCAATGGTCTCTAATGTTTTTGATTTTGTCAGGATGAGCTTTCCCACAGAGCCCTAAAGTGATTACAGAGTAGCTCAGGGCTTTTAATAGCTTCCAACTAGCAGGCAGTGGGCAACTGAAAGCGGAGGGGGAGACTTCTGCTGCCCAATACAAACGTGCGCTCCTCATGGCAGAGGCAGGATGTACCCCAGAGGAGCGCCGAACTCTCCGGGTGGAGGGTTTGCCACGTCAGAGGCGCCTGTGTTTGTGCAAATGAAAACGGCTGATAATTAGTTGTGAACACCAGCAAAGGAGGAACGCGGAGAACATCACAGAGCCTTTATTTATAGCAGGGGCTGAACCCTACGGGAGGCTGTGTGAATCTGTGTTGTCTTTTGCAAGGGAATTTAGCAGTGTGCTGACACTTGGACCCACGAATTGATCTTACAGCAATACTTGCACGTGCGAAAAGGAAAAACAATAGAAAATACATATTCTTTTAAATTATATACACACACAGTGTAGCATTGAGTGCATGTGTGAAAATGAAAAATAGGGCTGCAGCACAGCTCAGGGGCAGAACACCTGCCTTACATGCATGAGGCCTGGGTTAGTGCCACAGGAAAATGGGGAAGAGAAGGTGGAAGGGGTGGGGAGTGGAGGGGGAGGAGGCGATGGAAGACGCAGAAGGAGGAGGAGGAGGAGGAAGGAGTCGTCTCGAGATAATGTGTATCCATCAATATGAAAAGGTTTAAATAATGTATGGCACATCTGTATTTTAGGAAAGTTTGCTCTAATAAACAAAATGAGAGCCACATATGCTAACAGGAGAATGTGTCCCTATTACAGGCTGGGGGCGCAGCTCAGCGGGAAGCGCTTGTCTGGTATACACAAGACTGAGCTCAATTTCCGACCCTGCAAAAAAAAAAAAAAAAAAAAAAAGTCCTCATAATTGGGGGAACAAAGCCAATTGCAGACTACGCTATTACATGATTCTATTTTTAAATGTTTCTCATGTTAATATGTTCATTAAAAATACCTGGAGGACTGTGTACCAAAGCTCAGCTGGGACTACCTCTGGGGAACGATAGGCATATTTTGTCATGTTTACGTTTTTATAAGCACAAATTCCTTTTGCAAATAGGGGGAATAAAGAGTTGAAATAGTTCCACAGGAAGGAGGAGGACTGCAAAAGAAAGCAGTGGCTGGTCTGTGGTTTACTCCGTCCTCAGGTGAGGGGCTTCACTGCAGCCCCCCAGTGGGGTGGCTGCCCCTCTGGCCCTGCAGGCGGGGTCGGCCACCCTGTGCTTCACCAGGTACCACTGCGTCCTGCCCCTGCCTTCCTGCTGTCTCCTGGGGAGCGTTTGTCACCCCTGCTCCTGATCTCTGCTGATGGCTTAAATATAGCTTATTTCCCATTTCCTCCTCTGTCTCCCAAGCCATTTCAGAAGCAAGTATAGCAGGGAGGAGCCTGGCCTGCAGAGTTAAGGGGCCCCTGGGTTCAAGTCCCAGCTCTAATGCTTTCCTGACCGTGTGACTGGGAAATGCGCTTCTCCTTTCAGGATCTCTGGTTCCCGGTGTGAAAAATGATGATCGTCTTAGAGAACGTGCCTCAACAGTACCTTTGGAATACTGAAAAGAGAAATATAAAAAGTGCTTCTTGGGCATAGCCAAATGCTTAACACGTGATATATTACTATCATTATTATTTCTAGTCCTAAATCTGGAACCCGAACTAAGCATGTGCTCCCTACTACCACAGAGCTACGCCCCAGGAGAGCCCCAGTGTTGTTTGTTTGTTTAATGCAACAACACAGTTCAGGCTAGCCTTAGCCGAAGCTGGCCTCAAATTCAGGGATCTTCCTCCCTCAGCCTCCCGAGTGCTGGGATCACAGGTGTGCACCACCACACCCGGCTGGTATCTATTATAATTGACACCATGGTAGAATCTCTCTCACCTATTTTCTTCCCATTGTTCAAACCTGGCTCCAAATCTGGCATGGTGGCCATCGTGTCTTCCCCAGTCCGTTCCCTCCCTACACACCACAGAGGAACAGTGAAGGTTCCCTCCCTGGAGGGACACCCATTCCCTCTAAGTGCTGGGCGCAGTGTTCCTTACTGCATATTATATTCCGATTTGCTGCGTCTCCTCCAAAGCCCTGGGGAATCACGAAGGTAACAACTCTGATCTATTCTTCGCAGGGTCCTCAGCACCTACCCAGAGTGTGAATTCCCATAATCCCTTTTCCAGGTGAATTAATTTCTTTCATCCCCTCTCTTCCACCAGGACAGCCATTGTGAGTTCACAGTAGCATTATGGTGAGGGCTTCCTAACAACTGGACTCCCTGTGTCTCCTCCCACACCCTCCGGGGCTACATGTGACCCTTACAGATCCCTGCTCAAAGCCTTTGGGGACAGAGCGGAATTACAGAAAGAGCTCAAGGCAGAGCCAGTCCTGAGTTTTAGCACCAGTTTTGCTACAGGCTGATATGATCCTAAGCACATTGCTTTACCTCCCTCAGCCTGGCTTCATCTGGAAAATGGGGCACCGTGAGAAAGTGTTAGCTCTTACTTCCTTCTTCAAGTGTTCGATTAATGAGTTACACCCTCAGCCTTAACCATCCTTCCTTCCTCCTTCCTCTCTTCCTCCCTGTCCCCCTTCCTCTCTCATCCATCTTCCCTTCCCTCCCCCGCTCCGCCTCCCTCTCTCCTCCCCATTCCCTCTCTCTTTCTGTTGTTTTGTTTTGACACAAGGTCTCACAACGTTGACCAAACTGGCCTCCAACTCCTGGGCTGATGCCCTCACCACCCACGCCAACTTGCTGTTTCCGGCCTGCAGCGCGCTCCTCCGACCACCAGGGGCCGCTGCGAAGCCCTTGCGCTCGCTCACGTCGGAGAGCACCCTCTCTGTGCGTGCGAGGCGCGTGCTGGAGGGAGGAGGGGCCGAGAGGCGGAAGCGCAGCCGGCGTGGCCACCGCCCCGCTCCCCGACGCAGGGCGAGCTCTCCGGGTCGGGTCGCCGGCAGCTCTGGCGGGTTCTCTGGGTCACACTTCCGGTGTGGGCAGGTCCCCACCCCAGTCAGCCGTCCCTACCCCGCCCTCCCCGCCCCATGGCGCTGCAGAGCTCGGGGGTGGCCTTCCGCAGGATCCTGTCCCACTTCCCCGAGGAGCTGAGCCTGGCTTTCGCCTACGGCTCCGGGGTGTACCGCCAGGCCGGGCCCAGTTCAGACCAGAAGGTGAGCCCGGCCCGGAGCCGGACCTACCGTGCACAGGCGGCGTGTCCTCCAGTCCCCTTGTGCCCACGTGTCACCGCGCAGAGCGCAGCCTAGTGTGACAACAGCTATGAGTCCCAACACCTGGTACAGGGAATGGAACCCAGGGCTTGGCCCTGAGCTGCGTCCCAACCCTCTTTTTGTTTTTGAGACAGGGTCTAACTAAACTGCCCATCCTGGGCTCAGATTTGAGATCCTCCTACCTCAGCCTCCCGCAGTGCTAGGATTACACATGCCCCACCATGCTGGCGGGCTTCTTCCAAATCTTAAGTGTCACCGGTGGTTTGTGGGTCACGCAGTGAGTGGACCTTAGCCTCTGGGTAGCCACTCCATCGTTTTTCACAGACGTTTCTCCCTTGAGCAGACCCGGAAATCCTCCAAGAAAAGACCCTTTCCTTCGTTCTTACTTCCCTACATTTAAATGAACAAGTCTGTTATAGTCCAACATTGAGATCCCTTAAGTCAGTCCAAAGCCTGGGTACCTTCGCTGATACCCTTTCCTTCCTCACCTCCAGTCCTGCTGTGGCTTCCTGTAAGATTTTCTCCACCCTTAATCTCTGCTGCCTCAGCTCAGCTCACTCCTGCAGGAAAGACTGCAGGCATGACCGGCACCGCCCTTTCTGGTCTCAGATGCACCACATAAGTGTGTTCCTTTCTAGCAGTGTCAGACTGCCTCCCTGTCCACAGGCTCCCCTGACGTGACTCCCTGCTCTGTCTGGTGCTTACCCATGTACTTCCACCCATACATTCTTCAGGATGTCGCCAGGAAATGGTCTCCGTGTTCTCTGGACCATTCATTCATTCCAAACGAAGTTACTCCGTTGTGCACTCTTCTTCCAATTTGGTTGAGTAATACATTGTGTCTGCTGCCCAGTAGACTGAGCTCATCCTCGCTAGGACCTGGCAGGGTCCTTTGAGCTACTGCAAGAGTGCTTAGTGAGTAGCTTATTTCCCTTTACTGACTGCTTTACAGAGTTTGCCCAAGTGAATTAATTTGGTCAAGGGGTGCACCTTTGCTGCATTTAGCTGAAGTTGTATCTTAAGGGCTCTGCACACAGAATTTGGGGCCTCCCTTCTTAGGGCTGCCACTCAGTAGCTCTGTGTCCTTGGGCCAAGTGCTTACCCTGGGCTTCGGTTTCCTTTCCTGTGAATTAGGCCTAATAGATGGGCCCGAGGGGTTGTTTGGGAGTTGGAATGAGTTACTGTGCATGTTATATGTAAAGCCTGTACACGGTTCTGACACACTACACGTTAAGTGGTGTCACTGTTGACTAGAAGGCTCTGCTTGGTCCCAAAGGCTCCCTCATGTTTCCAGTGCCAGGCCTAGATCTTGTGTTAATCACAGTAGCAGCATCCTCCAGAGCTCCCCTCCAGCTGCTTCTCTCAGAGGTAATGCTGACCTCTCTCTCTGCAGAACGCCATGCTGGACTTTGTGTTCACGGTAGATGACCCTGTCGCGTGGCATTCAAAGAACCTGAAGAGGAATTGGAGCCACTACTCTTTCTTAAAACTTTTGGGGCCCAAGATGATCTCCTCTGTCCAAAATAACTATGGCGCTGGAGTTTACTACAATCCACTGATCCTGTGTGACGGCAGGGTAAGTGCCTGGCTCTTTATCTTAATTTGGGTTGAGGTTCTACCCTTCACTAATGGGATACTGGTGAAATATGTGTATTCAAGAAGGCAAGAAGCAGCCTGGCTGGATGTCTTGAACCCAGGACAGTGCAAGGGGCAGGGCCCTCTCCTCCCCTTGACTGTGATGGAGGTTTGAGAAGGTGGTTGGATATGACTGACTTTCACCAAGTGGTTCTCAAATTGTAATCTGTTGCACACACAGACTACAGGTCCCAACACCAGAGTTTCTTATTTTCTGCTGGAAAATTTGGTTTTTTTGGTGGGGGGCTTTTTTGTTGTTTTGTTTCTTTGAGACAGGGTCTGCTATGTATTTGAGGCTGGCCTTGAACTCACTGTGTAGCCTAGGCTGGTCTCTAACTCAGGCCATCCGCTTGCCTCAGCCTCCTGAGTGCTGGGATTGCAGATGTGCACCATCGCGCCTGCTCTTGTGCAGTCCTGGGGCCAGACAGGAGGGCAGAGGTCGTCACTGTGCACAGCCTGCCACTGCCACCACCAAAACGCAGAGTGTTGTTCTTCTTCTGTAATTAATTCTTTTTTGAGACAGGGTCTTGCCATGTAGCCGAGGCTGGCCTCCAACTCACTTGGATCCTGTCAGCCTCCTGAGTACGAGGACTACAGGTGTGCACCACCACACCCCACCCTCTGTGGTTAATATGCAGATTTTATCTGTGGTAATTTTCAAACAACATTACAAGCTCCAGTAAGCCAATGTTTGGGCATCACTGTGCGTCACTGGGGCTTTATGTTTTATTTTTTATTACGTATTTACAGCCCAAGGAAGCTATTTTGATACTGAAATTTAGCAAAGTGAATCTAAAAACATTTGTTTACACAGATGGGACTTTGTAACCTGGGAAATCTCCTTTCAGGGTTAATGCATACTGTTATGTACATGAACTTGACCGTAATTCTGTCTGTTTAGCATTGAGAAAGAGGTTTTATTTTGGGGTGTTGCTTTGTAATTATAAACGTTTTCAAGAGTGAACAGCAACAGAGAAATTTACTATGTGGAGGATGTCAGAGAAAACTTTTAGAGAAACTTTCTGTACTTTGTAATTAAAGGGACACTGGCCGACCGGACTGCAGTTCTAAGGGGCGGGGGTTACAGTGGGCTTCCAGTGTCACCTTGAGCTTGAACTGTTGGGCACAAGCAGTCTTTCTGCCTCAGCCTCCCAAGTAGCTGGGACCACAAAAGCCTGGAACTGCAGCCAGCCCTACCACCCAGTTTAACTCTGCCATTTCTGGTGACACGTTAAGCGTGTTATTCTTTCTGGACCTCACTTTCTTATTTCTGAAATGAGGAGCATTAACTACATTCTTACCTCTCAAACTGTGAGGAAATTACTGGTTTCTTCCCTTGCAGTCTGTGAGGACCAGGACTGGATTTATCCAGGAGCCCCTCTGCCTTGACATCACTTGGACCTACATTAACGTCCTTACCTAACCTCACGTGCTGCAGGGGCCAGGCTGGTCTTGGGGGTTCTGTTGGAGGAGGGGCTTTCACAGGTAGAGGTTTTTGTTTTTTGAGACAAGTTATTGCTATGTCTTTCAGGCTACACTTGCACTCACTGTGTAGCCCAGGGTGGCCTCAAACTCAAAAAGATCCTCCTGCCTCAGCTTCCTGCATGCTGGGTCACAGGTAGGCGTTTTGAGCGGCTGTGGAAGGCAAGGTGCTACTCTGGTCAGGAATTTGATCTGTGTCTGTGTTAGTTAGTTTTTTTTTTTTCATTGCTGAGACAAAGGAAAAGGTTTATTTAGCTCACAGTCTGCAGAGGCTTCAGTCCATAATTGCCTGGCTCCAAGACAGGGTGACACGTTGGCGGAGGGGCACCAGTTCATGGAGAACCTAAGGTTGCAAAGCAGCAAGGAACCTTATGAGCGTCTTTCTGCCCCTTTTGTCTTCTTCAGACTGCTTAGGGCTGGTAGTACTCATAACCTTAATCCCAGTACCCTCAGGCCTAGCCCCACCTTGAATCAGTCACACACGCTAGATTCAGCCACCTCTGAGAAAGCATGAGGCTTTGGGGGACACCTGAACACCAGCCATAACAGTGTCCTCCTATCTTGTACTTGTGTAAGCAGCAGCCTGGGATTTTGCTCTTTTTCATGTCCATTTCCTTCTCTTCAGCTTGTCAAGTACGGGGTGATCAGCACCAGTACTCTGATTGAAGACCTGCTTGGCTGGAATAACTTGTACATCGCTGGCCGCCTCCAGAAACCGGTGAGTCCATGAGCCTATTTCTGGTGGCCACCCCACATGGCCTCGTGCTGAGCCCTGGTCCTGTGACTGCCCCAAGATGGGACTCTGGCAAGTGGAAATGAGTGTCATGCCCTCATCCCCCAAAATCCATCAGCAAATAATGCTGTGTGATAGCGTGACACAGTAAAAGCTTGTGTGGTCTCCCTCACAGCCTCCTAAACCCTCGGCATTCCTGATGGGCTAACCAGTGCCTTTCATGCACATCTGAGTTCCTGTCTATACTAGTGAGGTGTCTTTGGTATGCTTTGTTGGCTTCTTCTGTTTTGCTTTTTCTGGTACCGGGGATCGAACTCAGGACCTTGTGCTTGCCAGGCAGGTGTGGCACCACTGAGTGACATCCCCTCCTTTTGTTTTTCTTGTGCGGAACCCAGGGCCTTGCCCATGGTGGGCAAGCATCTACCAAGCTGCACCCCAGCCCTGGGTGACCCTGGAAGGGTCATAATAGCTTCAGGATAGGATCTGGTCTCCAGGGGAACCAGCCAGTGAAGAGAGGTTTGAGCTCCTCCACCCAGTAACCGACTTAAGCCCAGGTAATGCACCCACCCTAAAGCAGCATGGCTTGGGGAGTGTCTGTGCTGCTGGTCCATCCCATGCCTTCCTGAGCATGGGGAGCCGTTCTGCTAAGACCACCTGGGGGCCTGGCCCGCAGGAAGCCCTGCTTACAGCTGCTCAGCCCAGAGGCAGTTGTATGTGGCAGAGCTTTCTTACCTGTGGGTCGGAAGGCCCCGCACAGCAGCTCTGTGAGGAATGGGGGGTGGATGGTGACGGAAAACCCCTCACCTGGCATCAGAGGAGGTGCTGGGTGAGAGACAGGTCCTGGTCCCCTCTCTCACGGGCCACCTTCCTTCCAGAGCAGCAGGGGTTCACCCAGCCTGGCCTTGCCTCTGGCCCCTTAGGGACACTACTGGGGGAGACTGGGGAGGAACTGTCCCTGGCTGTGATAGAAACAGAAACAGGGAAAGGTGGGAGGTGAGGATTTGCATATCCCGCCCCCGTTCTTCCTTCCTTCTCCCAGCTTCCTGAGGAAGGCTCTTCTCTTGGTGAAAACACCACGTCAGGGCATCAGCGCTGATCTCACTTCCGTGGAAAACTCGTTGCAGTGTCCGAGAATTTCAGGCTCCAGAGTACTCGGGTTTTCTCAGGTGTCCCCTGTAAGGGTGACGGCTTGCTGCTTTTCTATAGTCGGCAGTGGAGAAAAAATTAGAGATTTGCACAACCTTAGCTCGCTTGGCTTAAGAAAACCTCTTTATTGCTGTGTGTGGGTCAGGATTCCCTTGCCTCACAGCTTGTAGGGAAAAGGAAGCCCAGGGTGGCTGCACAACGGTTCAGGCTAAGGGCGGAGATTCCAGGGGACATTAAGTCCCTGGCAAAAGAATTCTGCCACAGGCGCCCGTACATAGGATAGAACCAAGATCAACGTTAGTGCCGCTGCTGCACAGGGCCTATGTACTGTGGGGCTGCCACGGGGCTGGCTGCAGGGCAAGGACTGGTGCGGCTGGACAGTGGACTACGGCTAGTGGCCAGTGGCTAGGCAGCTGGTAGATCAGGTGAGCTGAGCTGAGCAGCTGAGAGTACACACAGGTCAGGCGTTCTCCCACTCTGGGCTGCCCGTGTCCCAAGTGAAACTCTCCAGTTTAAACTGGTGACAAGACACACCTAAGATTCAAATTCAGGCTGGAAAGCTGGGCATGGTGCACACACCTATAATCCCAGCACTCAGGAGGCTGAGGTAGGAGGCTCACCATGAGGTCAGGGCCAGCCTGGACTACATAGTGAGAAGCTGTCTCAAAAAAACCAAAAGCAAAGAAAAAAAAATTGAAGCTGAAGATGTGGCCTGGTGGTAAGCCCGTGCCTAACAGAAACAAGGCCCTGGGTTTCTCCCCAGAGCCAGCGCACAAGATAGTGTAGTTCATTAAAATGTCTGGAGACATGTGTATGCATTTGAAGAAGTTTGTCAGGCTGTGCCCTTCTGATATGTGTGGTCTACTGTTTAAATGTTTACTTCAGTAAAAACATTCTTTTTCTTGTAATTGCACCACCACACCAGCTGCAAGGTTTTCTTAAATTTACAAAATGTGTAAGTTGGTAGGAAGGAAAATGAATGTGGAGTTAGAAGCCTTGGGTTGTATTTATTTCTGCTGCTTATTAGCTGTTTATGTGAACTTGGCCAATGGACATTCCGTTCCTCGGTGACCTTGTCTGTAAAATGGGGATAGCAGGGCTGAGGAGTTAGCTCAGTGGTTCTTCCACCTGCCTCGCAAGCACAAGGTCCTGAGTTCAATCCCCAGTACCAAAAAAGAAGGATAGCAGTGCTTGCCGTGCCTGTGCCACAGAGGCGTTGACAGCCGGAAGAGAGCGGTGGAGCTGGAGAGAGCACAGATGGTTAGCTTGGAATGCCAGCTCCCCTGGTCCCTGCCCGTCCCCACACCTCAGGATGCTCTCGTTGATGTGTGAGGGTCTGAGAGGCCCGCACTCAGGCACAGAGTACAGTGTCCCCTTCTGTCTTTGGTCGCCTCAATTATTTTTAGATAAAATGAGGTTGAATTGAATGTTTTAGAATTTTTAAGGGCGGGGGATTTAGCTCAGTGGTGCCACCGCCTGCCTCACAAGCACAAGGACCCAAGTTTGATCCCAGATACAAAAAAAAAAACCTTGAAAAAAAATGTTAAAAACTGGACTTTAGAAACCTGAAATGCCATGAGGTCTTAGGTCAGCTCTGGAAATTACCTGGGGTTTTTTGGTTTCTTGGTTTGGGCTTTTTGGTGGTGGTGTAGGTTTTTTTTATTTTGTGTTTGTTTGGTCCTGGGTATTGAACCCAGCTCCTGACCCTCACCCCTGACCCCAAATTTTACCTCACACTACTCCTAAGATAAAAATAATTCAAGACAGGAAGGAGCAGCTATAGTCGTATTAGGCAAAACTGTGCACCTGCAGTTAATTTAGAAAAGAAAATATTAATGATGACTGATTATCCCTGATGCCTATGAAGAGTAGGCGGGGAGCTGTGGTATAATTCACTGGGACAACACATGATGATTGTGTGTGATTCCCTGGGCTCAGTCCTCAACACCAAAACAAAACAGAAGAAAATTTATGATGTCTTTCAAAAACCAGAAGTGATGAATGGTCATTTGCACCCTTCCCTGGGAATCGCTCTTGGCTGGGCCTCGGGGCCATCCTGATCGCCTGACTGCTCTTACCTCTAGGTGGCAGCAGACATCAGGCGAACCCACAAGTCTGATGAACCCGGATGGTGTCCTTTCCTATCTTAACTCTCTTTATTTCTCTTTTCTTTTCTCTTTCACAAAGTACTGGGAATTGAACCCATAATCTCACATGTACCAGGCAAGTGCTGTGCTACCGAGACACACCCTGACCCTTTTTATTTTTGATTTGAGACAGCACCTTGCTAAATTGCCCCAGCTGTCCTGGAACTTCAGAACCTCCTACTTCCGCCTCCCTCCTAGCTGGGATTGTAGGTGTGCACCGCCAACTTCAGCTTGGCACGGAGCATTTTGTACGAGAAAAAATAGGTAGATGTCTTAGGAAGGAATAATGGGAATATGAGTTTGAATTGTTGTTTCTGTTTTAAAAGGAGTTACATTGTCCAAACCTCCAGAATTATCTGTATCTTGATTTCTCAATCACTAGCAAGTTAAATCTTTAAAAGGCATTAAAGTGGTTTAAAAGACAAATATTTCTGGGAAAAGTTGAGTGCGGTTAAACTCTATCATACTTTTACTACCTGCTTACCTTGTGATTGAGGAGATATATCGATTTATGTCTAGGACTCCCCTAATTCCTGTGTCAGTGATTGTGTGTGTATGAGTGTGTGTGTATACACGTGCGTGTGTATATTGCTGGGCAGGTTACTACTGAGCCACAGCCCAAACCTTACAAATGCTTTTAGCATTAAGAACCATGGAATTTTAAGTATTTAATAGAACATGGTGGGTAAGCCTTTGTAAGTGTGGGGGAAAAAAAAGCTTTAAACTAATGTAATGGGTTTCCTGGTTAATGTAACATAACTTCAGATTTTTGTGACTCATGTTGTTTTGAGTGTTTGTTTTGAGATGATTTTGCTTGTGTGTATGGTTTTAGTCTGGTTGAATTTTCTTTTAGATGGGGTGGGTGTCACTCTTTTCCCCAGGCTGATCTCCAGCTGCTGGGCTCAAGCAGTCCTCCTGCCTTGGCCCCACAGCTTGCTTGAGTCTCAAAAGCATTCACTTTGACTGATATTTTTGCCACCTTGATTATACTGTATTCCTTGCAATGTATTTTCTTGGCTAATCATTCAGCTTTATTTTTTGTAACAACTTTATGGAGCTATGTATAGTTCAACCATTTAAAGCATAAGATTCCTTGTTTCTCAGTATATTTGCAATTGTGTAACTGTCCTGGGTTTGTAGCTTTAGTGATTTACATTTTGTAGTTAGAGAAATCCGAGGGGAACAAGATGCCCAAATGGCAATCAGGAAGCCTCCCTTCCTAGACTGAGCTTTGCCGGGCTGCCTGCCAACTTTGGGCTCCAGCCTTCAAAGCACAGAGCTGGGCCATTCCCTTCACTACCAAAAAGACACAGTTTCTTCTCGGTGCTACCAGGGGGAATAAAAAGACCCAGGCTGTTGTCCCTGGGTCCTGTCCAGCAGGTCCTGGATCTCCATTCAGGTTTCCCTATCATCCTCCAGGGAATGTCAGGCACAGTCCCTCTCCTGGCCAGAGTTCTGGGGAGTGGTTGAGTATGTCACAGCAAGGCAGGGTTGTGTTGTGTGTGATGAAGACTGTGTTTGCAATTCGCTGGTCTGTTGCTACCACCGACTCGGTGGAGCTGTGTGTGGCTTTCTCTCCGTTTCAGCCTCACAAATCTCTCCTTTGACAACCACTTCAAGCACTGCCCCTCCTTTCCCTCTGCAGTTCAGACTCGCACCCTGGCGTGGCACTAGTGTTATCTGTGCCATTCGGGCCGGGGCCTCTGTTCTCTTTCCAGCTGCTCTGGCTTTGCCCTCCACACACAAATCATGGTGCTTCCGAGACGAACTCCAGCCCACCTCGCTGGGCAGAGCCACATCACATAGTGGAGCCTTCCCAGTTCACACTTCTCCTTTGAGTAAGGACACTAGTGTTTGTGCTTTTTTTTTGTACCAGGGAATCAAACTCAGGTCCTTGTGCTTGCAAGGCAGGTGGCAGAACCCCTGAGCTAAATCTTCAGCCCTGTGCTTTCTTAATCTTAAATAGCAAACCAGCTGTAAGCCGGGCACGGTGGCGCATGCCGTAATCCCAGCACTTGGGAGGCTGAGGCAGGAGGATTGCTGTGAGTTCAAGACCAGCCTGGGCTACATAGTGAGTTCCAGGTCATTCTCAACTACACAGTGAGACTCTGTCTCAAAAAAAACCAAAAAAAAAAAAGCAAACCAGCTGCCATCTGACAGTCTAAGTGGAACAACTCTCTCGGAGAACAAGTGGGATTTTGGTAACGAGGAAAATGCTCCCAAATTGATTCTTTTCTCTGTGTCTTTGAAATGTTAGCTGTTTCAGAGTAGCTTCAGTGTTACCAGGTTTAAAGCCATGGAGATGAGGAGAGAGAGAGGAGGGCAGGGAGAGGTTGTAGGACTGTGAGAAGGACCTAGTGAACAAGGCTGACCAAGCAGAGGTGGGGACAGAGAGGCGGCGCAGCGCACGGGACCCTGGCCTGTTGTGCCGCTACTTCTCTTGAGGAGAACATTTAACCTCCCTGGGCTTCAGTTTCTCCACCAATAAAATGAAGAAATTGGACTCCTAGATCAGTGATTGCACATGGAACACAAGGCTTTGGAAAGTTAGTCAAGGAATAAGCATGAGACTTATTATTACAGGACCTTGCAGTTGGGGGCCTGGGGCGTGGCTCAGCGGTAGAGTGCCTACTTGGTACATGCCAGGTCCTGGGTTCAATTCTTGGCACTTCAAAAAAGAAAATCTTTTTTCTTTTTGTTACAGTCATCTGTCAAGATAAAAATTAAGCTAGGTGGTGTGGTGGCGCATGCCTGTAATCCCACCGTCTGTGGGAGGCTGCGGCTGGAGGACTCCCAAGAGTTCAAGGCGCTGGGCTGCAGTGTGATTCCAAGGCCAACCTGGAATATACATAGCAAGACCTGTCTCCAAGAAGAAAAAGAAGTTAATCAGGGTGCGTCCCTAACTGAATTCATGAGAATAACTCAGGATTTTGAGGAGTTGATTTGCAGAGGATAAGGCTGCTTTTGTGCCATTTTCCATCAGTTCTCTAGGCACCCTCAGGAGTTAGGGCTCCTGCGTGCCCCTCATCTTTGCTCTCCTGACTGACCGCTGACCTCACAGGCAGGGGACGCTTCCCTGAGGTCTGTAAAGTCCTTGCCGCAGTACAGTGGGCAGGAGACAGCACGCAGCCAGACGTGAGGTGTGCTGCTACGAGTCTTCCCACAGGAAGACAAGACACAGGTGAAAGGCAGAATTAGGTTGTTGAGCTTGATTTATAAATCAGTTCTGTGTCTTACAGTACCGCTTCTTGTATTAATAAAAAGAAAAAAGCTCTACCTTGGGATAACGTCTCTTCTTTCCTTGCTGTTTTTGAAATTTCATTTTGGAGACCGTCTATTCCATGCCACCTTACAGTGGACCCTTGACTCAAGAACTCAATTCGTTCCCAAGAGCTGGCTGGTCAGTAACCAACTCAAGCTCATCAATTGCCTTCAGAGTCTCTCTCCTATTTAAGTTTAGGCCATACTCTACCAGGCAGATCCCAGTGTCCTTAGAGAGACATTGGCCCAGGATTTCTCAGTGAACCCCGCACAGGAAAGGATGTTGTCATGCTCCTTGCAGGACTATTCAAGGGTTAAATCTGTTTCTGGGGCCATCTGGAAGCACAAGCGGCCAGCATTCCGGTTGTAACTCAAGAGTTTGGTCATAAGTTAAAACCAAAATTCCGGTTGTAACCTAAGTTGGTTGTAATTAGGCTGGTTGTAAAAGGCACCTTAGCCCCTGTTTTGTGGAAGGAGGCAGATTTAGTGCCAGCACCCCACGGCTGAGAAAGGAAGAGTGCATTGCGGACAGGAAGCCCTCTTAGGGCCTGCCAGGCCCTTTCCTCTATGGATGGTGTCAGTGAGAAGATTCCAGCAGGGGTGTGTCGGTGTCACCGCTGTGACAAGCTGTCCCTCAGAGCGTCTGAGAGTCCTGAGGCCGCAGCTTCCTGGGAACCTGCTGGCAGTGTGCCCTCCACACCCAGAGCACCCAGGATGCTCCCTCCAGTGAGGGCTGTTGCGGAGCTCACTGCATCTCCCTGTGGACAAGGAGCTGGGGAGAGATGGAGCTGAGGTGTGAACGCTTTCTTTTAATTACAGTGCAAGCTTTAAAACAGTATCTCTGAACAGACTGCGGCACCTTGGGTTTTGCTGGAATTACGGAGGGTCAAAGAGCAGTTTTTGTGGGATATCTAGAAGAAAAATCCTTTTTATACATTGGCACATTGTGTTTATTATACTTAATCATTGAGACTGTTGTCGGGTGCAGATCTGTTAGCCCTACCTTACAGGTGAGGACTTACAGCCCGAGGAGTTAAGTGATTGGCTCAGATTCACAGAGCTAGTGGAGTAGTAGATTTCAGCTTGGTCCTGTCTGCCAAATCCATGATTTTGTCTGTTAACTAATTCTCTTCTGTTCTTAGTCAAGTTCAAAATCAGTGTATACACAAATCATGAAATACAGCATGAATGGCCCAGCTTATATGTAGGCAAGAAGAGAGATTCATTCTAACTAAAGAAATAAAATGCCTTGTTCCACTAGAAAATTAAGTGAAGAACAATAGAAAAAATATTTAAAGTTCTCAAAGGATGTTCTTTGCTTGTTGAAAGCCTGTGGTGCCAGGTGTGGTGGCGCACACCTGTAATCCCAGCACTTGGGAGGCTGAAGCAGGAAGATCACCATGAGTTCAAGGCCAGCCTGAGCTACATAGAGAGTTGGACTGTATAGTAAGACCTTGTGTTTAAAAAAAAAAGGCCCATGGTGAGTTTACTCATTTAAAGGAATATTAATTTTGTGTTCTTTGGCATTGTGATCTTTTCTGTGTCGTGGTTTCCCTGACTTTGGCCTAAGAGGGGAGATTTGGGGTTACTTACTAGAATAACAAGTATCTGTCAGCTGAGCTGACATTCGGGGATCTGTGGTGGTAGGTGTTTGGGACAGGTCCAAGGCACACATAAACCCATGGCTCTGAGGCAAGAGGGCCATGGGTTTGAGATCTGCTTGGGCGATTGTGCAAGGGGCGGACTGGGGCCGTGGCTCAGTGATCGCACACACCTGGCTTCCATCCTCATGGCTTGAGCGCTGCTTCTGGAATTTTTCTGTTGACCGCCCTGCCTTTTCCAGGTGAAGATTATAGCGATGAATGAGGACGCCACCCTCCGATCAGCCCTGGATAAGAACCTGAGGAGCGCGGTGACTGCGGCCTTCCTCATGCTCCCCGAGAGCTTTTCCGAGGAAGAGCTGTTCGTGGAGATCGCGGGGCTGTCCTATGCAGGTGAGTGGTGGGGTGCCGGCCCGGCCCTCTAGGCTCTGCCCATGTCCTGGCTCCCCCGAGTCCCACAGTGACTTCCATGTTGGCTTTTTCTGGACTGCTTGAGCGTAGCGGGTCTGTGCCGTGTCCCTCCGTGTGCGCTCTTCCTCTGCCATGGGCAGTGCTGACCCAGTGTTGGTGTCCAGTTGGCAGTCCGTGCCCAGGTGCCGTTGTCCCGATAATGTCCTTTGTGGCATTTTTTCCTCAGCACATGGTCCAATTGAGGATCGTGTCCTGTGCTCACGCTTTGTTGTCTCTCCTGGCTGTGGTTTTGGCTTGGTGCTGTGGACTGAACCAGGGCCTCGTCCCCTCTTACTGCAGAGCCCTTCCGCCTCTCCACGCCTCGCAGGATGTGCAGTTCTGGCGTTGATGCAGTGACACGCACCCCTCTTGGCAGTGTGTCGTCCCTTTTGCATGAGGAGCATGAAGATGTCCTGCTTCTTGTCAAACCATCCTGCCTGCTGATGGTGCCACTCAAACCAGTCTTTACCAGCATGGCGCCAAAGTGCCAATTTTCCAATCCCGCCTCGCCCTCCACAGGAGGGAAGAGCTTTCCTTTCTGGCTCATTCGTTTGTCTGTTATTTATCTAAATGTCAACTTTCTTTCCCTTTCAACACATTGTGTAGTCAAAGAAACAAGGGCACAGTGGGGTGGGGCAGGAGGACAAAGCCCCGGGCCCTGCACCCTCACTGCCACCAGAGGAGCATCACCTCTGAGATAGGCTCAGTGCCAGCTCTCATCTGCAGGGCTGGCGTGCAGCTCAGGGGTAGAGCACTTGCCTAATGAGTGCAGGGTCCAGGGTTTGAGCCCAGCACCACACACACATATACACAAATTCGTTAAAAGAAAAAGTGTGGTACAGAGGAGGCTGAGGCAGGAGGATCGCTGTGAGTTCAAGGCTGGCCTGCACTACAAAGAGAGACCCTATCTCGAAACAAAACAGGCAGTCCACTTTCCAGTCCCCCTTCTGTCTGTCTTAGAAAGCTTTCTTTCTTTCAATAAATTTGTCCTATTCTTACCAAAAAACACTAAAAACTAAGTACCCCCTACTTAGAGGAGTTTGAGGGTAAGGGTTTAACTCAGCACTAGAACTATTTACCTAACTTGCATAAGGTTCTAGGTTCAATCTCCAGCACTTTCTTAAATAAACCTACCCAAATTTAGTATGAGTCAGAGAACTTCACCCTAAAGCATTGCAGAGTCTACTTCCTTACTTTCCCGAGTCCCAGTACAGAGAGATTTTGTGGAAATTTGCTTCTATGAGAGACCGCAGAGGTCTGATTCCCCTGCTTCTTCCTAAAACTGCAGCTAGTAGGGCGGCAGAGCACTGGATAGGAAGCTGTTACCACGGCCTTGGGTAGTGTCCACCGCTCTGAGTGGCAGAGCCCTGGCAGGCCCGTGTCAGTACGTCCTTGGCCGCTGCCCGTGGGAGGAAGCATGCAGCAGGAGCCTTTGGAGCCTCGCTGGCTCTGTGGAAGAAGATGCAGGACTGTGCCATGCGGGCCCAGAACAACCACCACCTCCTCCTCCCCCTGCCCATTTTCCCCATAATCAACATTACTGTGGTGCCCTCTGGTTTCTAGTTCTTGTTTAGTTGTTGTGGTTGGTTTTTCAAGACAGTGTCTCACTTGAACTCACTGTTCAGCCAGGCTGGCCACCTCACCCGGCTTGTCTTTATAAGTTGTGAACACGAGTAAAGAATCTTATCAAATAACACACCTGTTTTCACCAACTTGCGTTTGGGGCTGGGATCAAACCCAGGGCCTCATGGATGCTGCACACGTGCTATACCACTGAGCAAACCCCAGCCCCAGGTTTCCTTCAGCAAACTTCTGACTGTGCCAAGGCCACATCTGATATTTCCTGGCACTGGACTAGGAGGGGTGGAAAAGGATCAAGGCCCTCAGGGAATCTCCTGGGTATGAGATTTGCCTTGGGCCATCTGTTGAAAGGCAGATTTTCCTCATGTCTTTCCTAGGCTTCTGAAAATCCATCTTCCTTGCACTGATCCAATTCTGTCCCTTTGGCGAGCCGTCTGAGTGTCTCAAGCTCTCAGAACATTCCAAAATTTAGACGGCCCTCTGGTCTCACCTGTATTTACAACTTGGACATTCCCCACCTTTTCCCAGTTAGAGCTACCTATGGTCCCTAACCAGTGAGGATCAGTGCTACTCCCCGAGGGAACACGGGTGGCTCCAGCCTGTAGTGACCAGCCGAGGCTGGCACCATGACTGCTGCCAGCGTAGTGACAGCTTTGGCGGTCTTACGCAGCCCTTAACGATCCCTTAGCTCTGGGCTCCCATTTATGGCAACATTGCTCTAAATGTGGGTGAGAACAGGGTAGGTGGAGAAGCTTAGTGACTTAGCAAGACCCTGTTTCAAAATAAAAAGCCTGGAGAGAAAGCTTTCCAGTCCTCACAGAAGAGGAGTCCACTTTGAACTTTCCTCTAAGGACGAACCAGCAGTGGTCAGGATCCTGATTTAACAACTATCAGATGAACCGGCTTCCCAGACCCTGAAGAACCCAAGGTAGCCTCTGCTCCAGGGCGTGCCGAGCTGGGGAGCACATGCAGTCCCTGGGAGCCCAGGAAACACACGGATGGGAAAGACGAGACGGGCTGAGGGGAAGCAGTGGCTCAGTGGGACTGCAGCCCTCAGTTCATGGTGGAGAAAACAGCTTTTGTCACCCAGTGCCGAACTGCTGCCCATAGTTCCGGTCTCACCACAGCTTCATCTTCACGATGGCCTTCTGCTTGGGTGCCGTGCTCTAGCCCCGGGTTACAGAGGAGAAACAGGCCGGCAAGGTCCTTGTCTCAGTCCCTGAGTGCGGCAGGTCCTAGTACCAGCGTCCCGGGGGTACGTATTCCTTCCCGGGCCCCCAGCGTGCTTATAAACCAATGTCTCCTAAAGACGTGCCCCAGACAGCATGTGTGAAAGACAGGCATTGGGCCGGGCATGGTGGCTCACGCCTGTAATCCCAGCACTCAGGAGGCTGAGGCAGGAGGATCGCTGTGAGTTTGAGAGCAGCCTGGGCTACATAGTGAGTTCCAGGTCAGTTTCAACTACATAGTGAGACCCTGTCTCAAAAAAAAAGAAAGAAAGAAAGAAAGAAAAACACAGGCATTGGGTGGAGGAGGCTGGGGATGCTTACATCGATGTGTTGTCTCATCATCCTCCAGTTGACACACCCTTTGAGCAGTGACTGATGGCTCTCAGGTCACACCAGCTACCACTGTTACTGCTGACACCCTTACGAGCCCCTTTTTCAGATTATGGAAAATGGGGAGGCACCCACTTCGTGGGATTACCATGCCAGAAGGTTAGACAAAGTGTAGCCGGGTGTGGGGGTGCACACCTGCAATCCCAGCACTCCAAGAGGCTGAGGCACGAAGATTGCAAGTTCAAGCCCATCCTGGGCAACATAGTGACTTAGCAAGACCCTGTTTCAAAATAAAAAGGAACTGGGATAGAGCTAGGAGTGAAGACCCTGGGCTCAATGCTCAGCCTCTACCCACCTGCTCCCCAAAATTGTACAGGTCAACAAGAAATGCCTGTCCCATCAGCAGAATACGTAGACCAGAAGGACTGAAACTTGAGAGCCCCATTCACGTGGTGCTTCAAGGTCGTAAGGAATGAGAATCACCTTCTAGCACCCTTCTGTAAGAACAGGCCGATTTCCATGCCTGGGTGTCTGAGCACAGCGAGGCTACTTTGAGTAATAACGCAAAGCTGCAAGAAGTTGCAGTTGATTGACTCTTGGGAAAAACTCAGCAGCAGGTGCCAGCGTCCTGGAGTGATTTAACATCCCTGTCTAGATTCCAGTAAGTCAGGAGAGAAGCCGGGTGGGGTGGTGCACACCTATCATCCCGGCCCTCAGGAGGTTGAGGCAGTGATTGCTGCGAGTTCAGGGCCAGCCTGGACTGTATAGTGAGTCCCATTAAAGTGAGGAGAGAAACGCTTCCTGTGGAGTAAAAGCCACTGGGCCTCATCCTCCATTCGCAGCCAGCTGAAGCCTTGCAGGCAGTCTCAGTGGTCCTCCGCCTCCAGGATTTGGAACCTGCTTCTCTCCACTGGGGGGCACGAGCTTTGTTGAGGCCTCCACTGGAACACTGCGTCCTTGAGGTCACCTGCTCCTGGAGGGGCAGTCATCACCCCTGTGCCTAGCATTGTGGGTCCCATACCAGCGTCATGCACCACTCTAAGTGTTCTTCATGAGCTGCTCCATGCAGGCCCTGAGAGCCGTGAGTCTGCACTCAGAACCCCGAAGCCCAGGAGCTTCCCCAGCCTGCCCAGAGTGTCACGAGCATGGGTGCTTGTCTTGTGCCCGTGCTCCCTGGCACCCTCACTGTCTGTGAAGGGTCTGTCCTCGTCCCAGGTCTCCTGGGACAGATTCCCTCACTTTATAGCTCAGTCCTGCCTCTCACTGGGGTCTCCCTGACTCCACACCTCCCCACCTCCCTGTCATCTCTTCCTGCCTTGGCTTCCTCCTCAGGTTCTCTAGTCTGACACCCTGTGGATTTCCTGGTCTGTCTTTGGTCTCTGTCCACCTTGGCATGCGAGGGTAGGTGTTTGTCTCACTTTGCTCCCTCTGCCTGGTGCTTACAGATGTTCAGTGGCTGCCATCAATCATGGTTCCTTTCTGAGTCTTCATCTCACCCTGTGTTCTCTGTAGAAAACAAGGCCTCGTTCGGGTCCCTCCTTCCCTTCCACACATGAGCTGGTACAGTGCCATGTTCTCTGCAGCACTGGAGGTATTTTTGAGAATGCATCCTGGGTGATGTGTCAGGCTGCCTCCTAGAAATGCTTTTTTTAAAAAAAATACTCCCTACCCTTTTGTAGTGCTGAGGCCAAACCCAAGGCTCAACTTACTCTAGTCAGGCGCTCAGCCACTGAGCCACATGTTTAGTCCAGCCTTAGTCATCTTCATTAAAAAATTACCTTGTAGGGCCGGGGATTCAGGGCTACCTGGCACTTCTCTGAGTAGAGCAACCAAGAGTCAAGCCAGCAATAGAGGTGGTTTTGCTTAGTCACTGGGCTTTGGTGCAGTCTCTGTAGGTGAGAAACTGATTCTCATCACCAGGCGCTGGCCCTGTTGTGCCCAGATCTTACTTTGTGCTGACACAGTGAGCCATCAGCCTGTCTGCTCCCTGTCCCCGGCCAGGCTCGTTCAGCTGCACTCGGTTAGAGAACTTCAGCGCGGCAGATGTTTGTTGCTGTGCCTTCCCTGCCCAGGCTGCGCTCCAAGAGCAGCATTCAGGGCTGGCCAGGCCCAGTCCTTGTTCTCAGAGCCCAAGGTCTCTTCTGGGCTCTTCAGAGATTGCATTGCTGTCCTTTGGGGGAGGACTTGGATTCATTTGTTTTTCACATTTTAGCAGATACAGTCTTGTCTCAAAAGTTAGTACATAAAATATGAAAATTTTTTTGTTAGTTCATGGAGTGTACAGAAGAGAAAGACTGACACAAATGTTTAGAATTTAACCTGATCTTTTGCTTCAGAACCTGCTGGTTTCAGAGCTCATAGCTGGGTATGGTGGCACTTGTAACCCTAGCACCCAGGAGGCTGAAGCAGGAGGATGCTGTGAATTCAAGGTCAGCTTGAGCTAATAGAAATTCCCTATTTCAAAAATCCTAAAACAAAGAACTAACTAAATAAATTCAGAGTTCATTAATAGATTCAAGGCTCTCAATAAAATTGGAAGGTGTCACAGTCAAAAGTTAACCCAACTTCTTGTGCATTCGCAATTGTCAAGCTATCCCCAACTCTGCACCCTGTGAATTAGGAAAAAACGCCAGAGGCAATCAGCCAGCGTGGTGGAAGAGGGGAATGAAGGAATCGCCAAGTAGAGTAAAACA